TCTTTAATGGCCTACCTCCACAAATACTCCTAGACTCAGCTGATTACATAAGTCAGCAATTCCCATCTTTGGGTTCCACCTCCATGGATTCAACTGATCACAGATGGAAAATAAACAGGCAACTGCAAGGGATTTCTTCTGTGTTAAACATAGAATTAAAAAATTATTTTTAGAATGCTTTTTATTTAATGAATTCAAATTTCACAGGTACAGCTTTAGGAATATAGTGTTTCTTCCTCTCATACCTGCTTTCCCAACCTCACTCCTGTCTCATCTCCTATTCCCTCTCCCATCCCAGTCTTCATTAAGATTCATTTTAATTAACTTTATATACAGAAGACCAACTCTAGGCCAGCGCTATGGCTTACTTGGCTAATCCTTCACCTGCAGTGCTGGCACCCCAGGTTCTAGTCCCGGTTGGGGTGCCGGTTTTGTCCCAGTTGCTCCTCTTCCAGTCCAGCTCTCTGCTGTGGCCTGGAAAGGGAGTGAAGGATGGCCCAAGTGGTTGGGCCCTGCACCCACATAGGAGACCATGAGGGAGCACCTGGCTCCTGGCTTTCGATTGGCACAGCACGCTGGCCGTAGTAGCCACTTGTGGGGTGAACCAATGGAAAGGAAGACCTTTCTCTCTGTTTCTCTTTCTCACTGTCTACTCTGCCTATCAAAAAAAAGAAGAAGACCAACTCTATACTAAGTAAAGACTTCAGAAATTTGTACACACAGAGACACACAAAGTAGAAAGTACTGTTTGAAAACAAGTTTTGCAGTTAATTCTCATTGTACAATTCATTAAGGATAGAGGTGCTACATGGGGAGTAAGTGCATAGTGACTCCTGTTGTTGATTTAACAATTGACACTCTAATTTATGATGTAAGTAATCACCTGAGGCTCTTGTCATGAGCTGCCATGGCTATGGAAGCCTTTTGAGTCCACAAATTCTGTCAGTATTTAGACAAGGCACTAAGCAAAGTGTAAGTTCTCTCTTCCCTTCAGAGAAAAGTACATCCTTCTTTGATGGCTCCTTCTTTCCATTGGGATCTGACTCACAGAGATCCTTCCTGTAGATCATTTTTTGCCACAGTATCTTGGCTTTCTGTGCCTGAAATGCTCTCATAGGCTTTTCAGCCATATTGAAATCCCTCAAGGGCTGATTCTGAGGTCAGAGTGCTATTTAGGGTGTTTGTCATTCTGTGAGTCTGCTGTGCAGACTGCTTCCCATGTTAAACATTCTCACCTTTTTAATTCTATCTATTGTTATCCCCAGACCCTTGGTCTTATTTATGTGATGCTTTTGATACTTAATCCTATCTATATCAACAATTACACACTTTATATAATCACTTTAACACATAAGAGGATATTAGTACCACCAAGCTTAATAGGATTTGGAGTCCCATGACAAGTTTTTAACTTTACCCTTAGGGGTAAGTCTGTACTGTAATTCCATAAACAATACATTCTGGCAACCATTTACAGAGCACTTATATTGTATTGGGTATGATAAATAACAGAGATGATTTCAAATAAATAGAAAGATAAATGAAGGTTGTATGCAAATAATTGACTAGAAAATCTACAGATCTGGGATTTTGTGGAGGGTCCTGGAACTAATACCCATAGACACGGAGGGCTAACAGTACTGTGCAACTGTTTCCAAGAGTACTTTCTCTACTATTGTAGGAATAATGTCACAGTCTTCTAAATGCCCTTACCACAACTGCCACCACCACCAAGAGGTGCTTCTCTCATCTATGTGTCCTTTTTATAGCACTACGTGAGCCTTCTCCTGACATGGCTTCAGCTCAGAGCAGAGCTCTGTTGCTTGCTTCTCTTCAATATTTTTCCCCAAGATTACTGAAAATGGCTGGTCCTTGTTAGGTAAATAATAGATATTTGTCTATTTTAATACATAAAGAAGTTAGGATTCTGAGAGTTCATGGCAGAACCAGAATGGTTTTGGTTAAGAATTTGATTAAAACTAATATTAAATTAAATAACGACAATAGAAATAAAGCCCAATGAATCAAGTGCATGTAATGCTTTTCTATTTCTGTCATACCTTAACGTTGATTCGAAAATTAAATGATAGGGGCTTTATTGAAGAATTTTATAATTATGTCATTGGCATAACTAACAAAAAAGAACAAGTGGATTGATCTGTGGATTGGGGGAAAGAAGTGAAGGAGGAGAATCAGGATGGGTAGAAAAACGAAAGGGGTAATTAGGGGAAGTATGAAGAAGCAGGCTGCATTTTAACTGGATTGTTGGTAAATCTCCCTAAAGAGGTGAAATGCAATGAAAGTCAGAAAAGAAAGTAACAGAGATAGCTATGAGCATATTTCAGAACGGGTGGGATAGTTATACAAGAGATTTTTTTCTTACCTCCTCAATAACAATACCTCTAGCCTGTTATGCCGCACCTTAAACCTTAGGGTTCCAATAATTTCTCTGATTTTAACCACTTCCCAAGTTCTTTGCAACTGAGACTAAATAAGGTATCTAATTGATCCTCTTTCACATGAATATTCATTAACTCAACATTTAATACAGAATTGTTGGTTTTTATTTCCTTACAGGTGTGTGTTTATTAAATGAGGCTTTTATCACTATTCTCTCTGCCTGTTTTCTCTTGTAGACTTGGGCCGCTGTTGTGGCTTCCACACGACCACAAGGCACACAACCCCATGAGTTCAGCAGTCCCTTTCTCAGAACAAGAACACATTTGAATGACAAAGTCCCATCTCCACCAATACAGGGCAGATCACCAATCTGGCACAAATTTTAGATCTTTGAGTTATTTTGTTCCCTGTAGTAGCAATTATTTATTTAAAATTGTACATATTTAAGGGTGCTATGTGGTGTTTCATTCCATGTATGCATGTGTAACATTCATTCAGTAAGCATTTAACATTCATCGTTTATTTATAGTGAAAACATAAAAATCACAACTTCTAGGTTTTCTATAGAGAAATATACAAGAAATTTACCTTATCTACCTTCATGGTACTTTGCACTAGAACCCCATAACTCCTTACTGCTATCTAGCTATAACCTAATGCCTGTCAATCAGTGTTTCCAAATCTCACCCTTCCTGCTTCCCTATCCAGCTTCTGATAACCACAATTATATTGTTAACTTCTGTAAAATCACCTCTTTTTTAGACTCCATATACTAATTCGATCATATGATATTTGTCTCAGTGTTTGGCTTCTTTTCTCTTAGCATAATGCCCTCCAGTTCTGTCCATGTTGTTGCAAATTACACAAAATCATCTCTTTTTTAAAGATTTATTATTTGTTTATTGAAAGGCAGAATTGAAAGAGAGAGAGAGGGAAAGAGAGAGAGAGAGAGATTTTCCATCCACTGGTTCATTCTGCAAATGGCCACAACTACTGGGGCCATGCTGGATCAAAGCTAGGAGTCCAGAGCTTCTTCTGAGTCTCCCACATGGGTGACAGGAGTCCAAGCACTTGAACATTTTCCACTGCTTTCCCAGACACTTAAGAGAGAGCTTGATTTGAAGGGAGCACCAGAGTCTTGAATCAGTGCCCATATAAAATGACAGCATCACAACCAGAAGCTTAACCCACTATATCATAATGCCAATCCCAAGATTTCATCCTTTTTAATGGGTGAGTAATATCCCATTACTTCATTTTCTTTATTCATCTTTCTGATTCTATTACTTGGCTATTTTGTATGGTGCTGCAATAAAAATAAGAGTGCAGATGCCTCAAGGATATGGTCCTGTAGCTTTCCTTTTTTTTTTTTTTTTTTTTGGTGTCCTGGTCTGGTCTAGTTTTAGTATCAATGTAATGCTGACTTAATAGAATGAATTTGAGGGAATGCCCTCCTCTTCTATTTTTTAAATCATATAAAAAATGTTGGTGTTTATGAAACACTTGCAGAATTCATCAGTGAAATATCTGGTCCTGGAATTTTGTGGAAGATTGTCTGTTATAGACTGAATCTTCTTACTTGTTACTGATCTGTTTAGGTGTTCTGCTTCCTCATGACTCAATCTGGATAAAGTGTATGTGTCCAAGAATTTGTCCTTTTCTTCTAGGTTATATAGTCTGTTGCCACAGGTTGTCCAGTGTAATCTCTAACAATCCTTTGTGTTTCTGTGGTGATAATGGTGATATGTCCATTTTTTTTTTATTGAAGAACTTCACACATTTAATCCTCAGAGTATGTGCCCATACTGTTATCATCCCTGTTTTACAAATGAGGAAACCAAGGATCAGAGCACTCATTTGTCCAACGAATGGCAGAGCTGGGACTTTTTAAATGAACAAATTGCCTTTTCTTATCACCAAGTAGCATAAGACAATATAAACAATAAAAACAACACCATACTCCTTCTACCCCAAGTTAGCAGTGTTAACGCTCATCTTTCTAGGCATGCACACATACATATTTTTCAGTTAGTTATTTTAACAAATGGAGGTATTTAACAGTTAAAGAACACTTCTGTGCCAGGAGTAGTCTGAATGCTTTGCATATACTAACTCATTTCATCCTAACAGCGCTCAGTGCTCTCCTTCCAAGTCAATACATTCCCATATAGAGCTGGGATTTCCCAGCCCAACTGCATTAACCACCCACCGGCACCCCCTGAGCCACAGTGCTGGGGCTGGAGTGTAGGGAGCAGATGTACTATGAAAAGATGAGAGAAGAGTGAGGCCTAAGTGTGCGAATGACTTGAGGAATAAATTGAAGAAAGAACGCCCACTTAGCATTTCAAGGGCCCCACCTAAGATCTGTAACACCCCTTCCACTAGCTCTTAGAGCCAGCAGCCCTGTCCACAGCAAGCAGACAAGTCTGGCTTAGAATCTCCTCCACACTACATGACTGGATGACACTGGGCAAATCGCTCCTGCCACTTGAGCTGCAGCATCTTCATCTGAGACAGGGAAATGGCGATCTCTAAATTAGGAGGGTGGGGTGGGGTGGGTTAAAGGCCAAGGGGAGCCAAGGAGGGCCTTCTGTCAACACTGATGCTCCACATGTGTCTCTGGCCACAGAAACAGGCCTCAGTGGCGGCGGAGAACAGCGTCATCTGCAGCTTCCTGCACTACATGGAGAAGGGTGGGAAAGGATGGCACAAGGCATGGTTCGTGGTCCCTGAGAATGAACCCTTGGTGCTGTACATCTATGGAGCCCCTCAGGTATGCATCCTGTCCCTTCCAGTCCTTGGCCACAAGTGATAAGGTTCACTTCAACTGAGGAAACCAGAACCGCCAACCATACGAGGCAAAGACTGACTGGAGACAAGGGGTGATCGTGGGCCAAGGATGGAGAGAAATGGGGGTGAGTTCGGGCGAGGGAGTGGCTTTTGAGAGGAAACAAGAGTTAGTTCTGGTTCAGGGGAGGCAAGAGCATGCAGAAAGGGGACAAAGGCCTGGAACCACTGTTTGGTATGCTCGAGACTAGGCCCAGCTGATTCTGGGTGTGGGAGGAGACAGGGATTTATTTGCACTGGCCTGCCTTCTAACCCCAGTTCAGACACCTTCCTGTTGGTAATGGAGGAGCCATGGAAGGTTCTTGAGCAGGGGAAGGAAAACAGGGAGGCAGATGCAAAACCAGAGAGAAGCTGGGGCCGAGGGGAAGGACCAGCCCCGCGGTGACGCCAGCTCCATTCCTCTTATCCAGGATGTGAAAGCCCAGCGCAGCCTGTCCCTCATTGGCTTTGAGGTGGGGCCTCCCGAGGCAGGGGAGAGGCCTGACCGAAGGCACGTCTTTAAAATCAACCAGAGCCACCTGAGCTGGTACTTCAGCCCTGAGACAGAGGAGCTACAGTGGCGCTGGATGGCCGTGCTCGGCCGGGCTGGCCATGGGGACACGTTCTGCCCAGGGCCCACACTGTCTGAGGACAGGGAAGCAGAGGAGGCACCAGTGGCGGCGTCAGGAGCCACTCCTGAACCCCTGGAAGCCCCCCATCCCTGAGATAAGACCTAGAGGGTTCGGGGGTGCCCCACACTCTAGCTGCCCATATCCGATTGGGGAGCTCCAGCCCCCTCCCTCCCAGCTCAGTCAATACTTGAACTCCCATCACGGGCACTTTCAATCCCGAATGCTGGGTTTTGGGTTTTTTTTAATTCATCTTTTCACAAATTGTGGGCTTTTAAAAAGATATTCCTACAGTGATGTTCATTTTTTTTTAATCCCTGTCCCCAGGGAGGGTGGGAGCTGTTGCCAGACCTCGCCTGAATCGGGCCATTGAGTCTCCCATCTCCAACACCTTACACATCCTGCCTGCACTTAATCCCCCCACCTCCAAAGCACCAGGGGGCAGGAGACCTGGATTCCAGTGCCAGCTCTGCCACCGACCCAGCCCTGCCTCCTCAGCCAGTATTTCCACACATCCAACTCCACGTGATGTGGTGACTAGACCCCCTTTCACCTCTCCCATGGCTTCAGCTTCCTGGCCTCAAGGCTACCCAGTATTTTATCGTCCAGACCCATGGTGGGGCCACCGGGCAGGACAGGGGAACGGGGGTGGGGGGAGGACAATGGATACTCTTTGTTTTGTTTTTTAAAGAAAAATACAGTTTATTTCAGGCTTACAGTAACTTCCAGAGCACTGCTCTGCTGCATTCATCTGTCTGTCGGTCTGTCGAAAGTACCAGGCTACTAGGGTGGGCCCAGAAACCACTCCCTTGTGGACTCTGAGGTTCGGCTCCCAGAAGGCTGCTTCCAAGGTTACTCACAGGTCAAGCCACGGATTAAACAATAAGCTAGCATTTATTAAGGTCTTAGGCCTCATCCCTGGACTTAAATGGGATGGAATAGAGTCAGGACAGAGGTTAGAGGAGGCAGAAAACAAAGCCCCAGTCTCCCAAGCTTACCACCTAGCCAAGCTCTTGGAATTCCCAGGGTGGGAGGCCAGGTACACAAAAGGAGCATTCCTGGGAGGTTCCAGGTTCTGGGCAGAGATTCCGAGCTGCTGTGGGTAGGGTGGGGAAGGCGAGAGGAGCACACCACAGCTACTTGTTCCCACGTTCAACTTCCTTCCATTTGCATGTTCACCACACCACTCCTGACCCAGCCAGGCCCCTAGTGCCAAGTACCTGTTCTCCTTCTGGGCCTCTCCCTTCACAAATCCACCTGCCTGCTGGCAAGCTCAAGCTCCTCCTCCAGCCACACGATACTCACTCATGTCCTCTTCATAATGCCGTCACCCAAGAGGCACTCTGCTGGGAAACGGGCCTCAAGACTCACATGGTAACTTAAAGCCTGAGAGGCTGTAGTAGACTGGGTCCTACCACCCCCAGGACCAAAGACTCTAGGGGCTTTCCTTAACGTGGAGGAAACTGGACAGGGGAGTGAAGGAGAGGGTGGGAAAAGGGTAGCCAGTCCAGTGGTCTACAACCCTCCACAAACCCCCCTACAAGTAAGTCTCAAAACACCTAGCAAACCAAGGGCCCAAACCACTTTCAGCCCTACTCATTTCTTTCTCCGGACAATGGTCCAGCCATCTTCCACTATATCCTCTTCCTTAATAGTCTGGGAGTTGGGATCAGAGGGCTCAGGCTGGGGGCAGACCCCATCTGTAGCAGCTCCATCATTCATAGCCGTGACCTCCATCTCTTCCCCACTGTCCGCATCCACCTCATCCTCATCATTTTCTTTGGCTGTCATAACAAGCTGTGGCTGTGACCTTGCACTTTTTTTGAGTGATGTGAGAGGCCATCTCCCTTAAAGCAGCCCCATCACCCCTCTGGAAGTGGCCGAACATGGTCTGCAGCTGCTGGCTCACCTGGGGCAGACTCCCATCCTCCACAACCGTATCAAACTCGTTGGTCATCAGCTCCCCGAGGAAGTCTTCTACCTCCTCTTGCTCCAAGTCAGCTTAGAACCTACCCATGAATTTTTATCACCGACTGCAGTGTTTCATAGTTTGCCTTTGAGAAATATCTGTTCTGCTGGGTTTTAAGGGAAGCTATCCATAGAAAGCATTGCGGTTGAAGTAATCTTCCACTGCCCCCTCTAGCCACTCGGCCTTCTCCTGGCTGTGCACACCCCCGAAGCCATTCTCCACCACGATCTGCGAACACAGGCCCGAGCCCACCACATCAGCCCATGAGCCATTTTTATCATTAATTATTTGTATTTAAATTGGGTTTCTTTTTTCATGGTTAGTCCACATAAGATTTATAAATTTTGCTTTTCTTTTTTCTTGTGTGTTTTTTTTCTTTGCTTGTATGTTTTAGTATTTTTAGTGTCTTTATTTTGTGTTATGAATTTTATGATTTTTTTCCATCCAACCAATCTTGAATTTGATTCTTTCTTATTTTTCTAGTTTCTTGAGGTGTAATAACAAGTTGTTTGATGCAGGCACTGAGTGCTGTGAACTTTGCAAGTCCTTCATTTGTTGTATCCTATAGGTTTTGGAATAATATGTTTCTATTTTCATTTGTTTCAAGAGTTTTGAAAACTTCCCTGATTTCTTCCTTGATTCACTGATTGTTCAGGAGTAAGTTCCTTAATTTCCACGTATTTGTTAGTTTATATTTTCTTGCTGCTGATTTATAGTTTCAGGATATTATGATCAAAAGGTACTTGATATCACCTTTATTATTTCAAATCTGTTGAGAATTGTTATGTGCATTCTTTATGGTCTGAGAAGCTGCATGGTATAATTCTAATTCTTTTGAATTTGCTGAGACTTGCCTTATGGCCTAGTATGTGGTCAATCCTAGAGAAGGTTCCATGTACTGCTGAGAAGAATGTAAAATCTTTACCTGTAGGATTGAAAGTTCTGTAGATATCTGTTAGATCCATTTGGGCTATAGTGTCATTTAAATCTACTGTATCCTTGTTGATCTTCTGTCCTGTTGATCTGTCTATTTCTGAGAGTGGAGTATTGAAGTCCCCCAGTACTATTGTATTGGGGTCTAAGTCTCCCTTTAAGTCCCTTAACAAATCTTTTAGATAAACCGGTGCCCTGTAGTTAGGTGCATATACATTGATATTTGTTATATCTTCCTGTTGAATTTATCCCTTAATCATTATATAGTGTCCCTCTTTGTCTCTCTTAACAGTTTTTGTGGTAAAGTTTATGTTGTCCGATATTAAGATGGCTACGCCCACTCTTTTTTCATTTCTGTTGGCATGGTATATCTTTTTTGTGCATTCTTAAATATGTTCCATGTGCTGTTGAGAAGAATGTGTACTCTGCAGCTTTTGGATGGAAAATTCTATAGATATCTGTTAGTTCCAATTGATCTAGTATTCAACTTAACTCCACTGTATCTTAGTTGATTTTCTATCTAGAAGAGCTATCCATTTCTGAAAATAAAATGATGAAGTCTTCTACTGTTACTGCAGTGAGGTCTGTCTCTCAAATTCTTTTAATGTTTGCTTCAATCATTTGAGCGACTCAAAATTAAGTGTACATGTATTAATAAGAATTGTTTCCTCTTGCAGGATTGAATCCTTTATCATTATAATGATTTTTATGGTCTATTTTTACTGTTTTAGCTTGAAATTCAGATCCAATATAAAAAACATGGTATATAAATCATTTCTTTCTTTACTATAAAGACTAAAATAAAATTACAATTACTATACTAAGTTGTTGTCAAGATACAGGAAATATGGAAAGAAATCAAATGGAACATCAAAACTTCAAAACATGGGGCCTGCTGTAGCAAGTTAAGTTGCCACCTGTGATCCCAGCATCTTATATGGGCATTGGTTCAAGTACTAGCTACCTCACTTCCAATCAAACTTCCTCCTAATGTGCCTCCAAAAGCAGCAGAAGATGGTTCAAGTACTTGAAACCCTGCTATTCATGTGGCAGATCTGGATGGAGGAGTTCCTGTGCCTAGCTTTACCCTGGCCCAACCCCATCTGTTGCAGCCATTTGGGCAGCGAACCAGGAGATAAGAGAGCTCTCTCTTTTAATGTAGGGAGGAGTGAAGCACAAACATAAAATTATTTGTTAGGATTTCTTATTAATTTATTTTTTGTTTATCTTTTCTCCTATTTTTATAATCAACATTAAATTGCTATTATTTCAATATTTCTGTTATAGTAAAAAGAAGTTTGTTGTGAGCTTCAAGATAAACACAAAGCAAAATCTATACATAAATTTACCAAAAACAATAAGCACATAATAAAAGTGTACTACTAGAGAAAATTACATAGGCACAAGTAAAAATGGGATTTGGGGACAAAAAAAAAAAGGAATTACAATAAAATATACAAAATAAGAATCCAAATTACACTAGTAAGACCTTACCTATCAATAATTACCTTAAATATCCGTGGATATATTTTCCGATAAAAGACATAGAGTGACTGAACAGATTGTGAAAAAAGACCAAACTATATACTTCTTTTTTAATTTTTTATTTATATAGTAAATATAAATTTCCAAAGTACAGCTTATGTATTACAATGGCTTCCCCCCCATAATTTCCCTCCCACTCGCACCCCTCCCATCTCCCGCTCCCTCTCCTATTCCATTCACATGAAGATTCATTTTCTATTCTCTTTAAATACAGAAGATCGATTTACTATATATTAAGTAAATATTTCATCAGTTTGCACCCACACAGAAACACAAAATGTAAAATAATGTTTCAGTACTAGTTATAGCATTACTTCACATTGGACAATACATTAAGGACAAATCCCACATGAGAAGTAAGTACACAGTGACTCCTGTTGTTGACTTAACAATTTGACACTCTTGTTTATGGCGTCAGTAATCTCCCTAGGCTCTAGTCATGAGTTGCAAAGGCTATGGAAGCCTTTTGAGTTCGCCGACTTCGATCTTATTTAGACAAGGTCATAGTCAAAGTGGAAGTTCTCTCCTCCCTTCAGAGAAAGGTACCTCCTTCTTTGATGGCCCCGTTCTTTCCGCTGGGATCTCACTCACAGAGATCTTTCATAGATCTTTCATTTAGGTCTTCCTTTTTTTTTTTTTTTTTTTTTCC